CACACATACCAAGACGAAGACTGTGTGGGGCAATGGAAGCTCCTCTGTGTTCACTCCCCATGCAACTAGTTAGGGGAATTTAGTGTTTTTGGTTTTGGTTTAGGGTTTAGGCTAAGGGTTTAAGGTTTAGGGTTGAGGGCCAGGTTTATTATTAGGGTTTGATAATATATTTCTATCCTCGCATTAATGATCCCGAAAGATTGGTTCAAATCTATTTGCTACATGTGAAATTCAGACTCTAGCATACGAATACGAAAGCCAAGGCAGCATGATGGAATGGCGACTGATAAGTCGATACTTACTTCGTTTGGGTGCGGAATCTTGAGCTTGCCGCACAGTACGAACCACTACCTGGCCCCTGGTTTTCTGAGCTTTCTTGCTGGTGGCATGGCCGGCTACAGTGGACTTCTCAAGGATCCTCGTGCTGCTTCCCTGCTGGTATATGCATGCAGGCTAGGGGCTAGTTGCCAGATCGATCGTCGCAGCAGCCGGCAAGAATCAGCTTCATTGCCCACAACTAGTGCTTGGCAGCTTTCGTTAGTTGTGCTTGTCGGGGTGTATGGTGTTTAGGGGGGGTATTTAATTAAAGTTTTTTATATTATAGTTATAGCTTCGGAGTTTGGGTAAGAGTCTTGAGATCTCGCACATTTCCTTGCAGTGCTGTGCCACCACGTACAGGCCTCGATACATGCTATGCAGTGCAGGATTCAAGCAGGTGTTGCTTTCCTAGTCGTTGTTTGTGCCCAAGCATTATTGCAAGTACAGCTCTAGCGTGGAATCCCTACGATGACTATCCATGGCCACAACGAAGATGCCGCTCATCATGCAGAGACCAACCCGAAATTCACAGCGGATTGCATCAAGTACTTCTTGAAGCACAAAAAAGTATCTCTGCAGAAGCTTCACCGTATCCGAGCTGTTCTTTGCACCTCTGTGCCTCGGATAAATTAATTACTCGTTCCACCTATATGACTAAATCCGGGTACCCAACCCTCACAGCCAAACCCTAAACCCTGGCTACACTATCTAGAAAAAAAATTAATAATAAGGCTTGGGAGTCGGCCCGTGAACTGGGCTACGAAGCTGCATCGGTGCTCGAGGAGGATGAAAAAAAACGAATGATGAAAGAAGATCGTCGTCGTTGATCTCGATGCTGGCATGTGGTTTCGAAATTCTTTAATTTAGCATGAGCAAATTAGCCTCTGGGCTCTCCGGATGCAGTGTTATGTGATTCGCGCTGCGAAAAAGACCGCTCCACTGTACTGCCGAATTTACTCCAGCGATCTCGACCCTAACCCTAAGAATTCAAACCCTATGGCTATTAAACTCCGAACCCCAGGGGTAAACCCTGACTCCAGACACCTAAACGGCATCGCCTTATACGACTGTGACCCTAAACCCAACGACCCCTAAGCGCTTCAAGCATTGAGGCTTGAAATTCTCACCTGCAGGGACTCGAAGGACCCTATCCCTAAGCCCTGAACCCCAACCCTTACAAACCCTAGCAGCAGGTTTATGACGACCCTGAACCCTAAACCCTAATTGGGCTCAAATCGCGAACACCGGAGGGTCCAAATCAACGTGACGAGGCTAGAAATTCATATGTTGAGGCTGGGTATGTACAGCTCGGGCTTCAAAATGGTCCATTCCGGGTACTTTAAAGACTTACAAAAATCACGATTTCCATGTCCTGCAACATCTGCAAATCCATATAATTGCATGTCTCCGAGTCCGGCGACGCAGGCTCATATGTTCTATATGGTGTCCAAACTTGTAAACCTACCGGAATGTCTTCTGCACGGGGCGACGTTGGAGCATCAGGGCTAGCATCGCAGCTTGCAGTGGGCGGCTCCTGGACAGCACAAGCAGGACAGCACAAGCAGATTTACGCACAAGCCGGACACTGCAGCCGGTGCGTGACGCGAAGAATCCCACAACGCCTTATAACGCCTTGACAAAATGAAACTCCTGCCCCACAGCAGTAGGTCAGTAGGGTCATCCGCACCAGACGCTCTGCCGGGCTGCTTCGACTGCTGACAGGTAAAGTTTTGTGCAGAACTTACTGCTTCAGAAAGACGAGCACTCCTCTGCAGGATCGCATCCATCTGCCCGACCTTTCTCGGTGGAGTCCTGCCCGACTGCGCAACGACAGCACTGACTTTCAAGCTCATACCCAATAACCCGCACCTGTTTGTCCTTCAGTCGCTTCATCGTCTTGCTGAGACAGGACGTCGCAAGCCAGGAGCCAGCATGACAAAGTTCATGCAACGACAGATGCATCAGTAATGCCTCACATTCCCCACGCACTCTATTTGTCGGCCGTCTGCAAGACGCAACAATGATGGGATGCGCGAGGGCGTCCTTCAAGTGTCGTCGTCTCGCCGTCCTGAGTGAAGCATAAAAGATAACCGGGTGCCAGCACACTTTCCTCCGCCGACTACAGCACGTTTGCTGGAAGGTCCAATATGCTCCCAAAAGTCGCATGATGAGACGCATATCTGCCATTTCTCATTGTACACGGCTGCTTTGATTGAGTCCATGCCTGTACCGATCTCTGGAAAGGCCATGACATGAAGGGATTGCGATTACTGCAACGACGGCCGTGTGGAAGCTTCCTAGGTGCAAAAGCCTATCTGGCAGCGTGCTGGAGCAGCCAGCACAGGTGGAGAACCCGACATGCCGAAGCAGCGAAAGAGTAGGAGGATGCCGATTTGAGCTTCGCACTTCGGCACAGGCCACATTGACTTGTGCGCAAGCCCACAAAATGAGCTTATCGTTTTGGGGGGTTCGGTATATCGTGTTACATATCATGCGGCATGGCCCATACATATATCTAATCTTATCGTTTTCCACAAGAAGGCATTGACTTCATGCCGACATGATTTCCAAAAACCTCCCGAAGATACTCCCTGATATGGAGTGTTTTGATCTTCGCTCACTTTGCCCCAAGCCACCCCACCCCCGTCCTACCAGCCCCCTGCCCTAATCTACCCCCATCTTGTCCGACTCTCTTGCCCCAATCCCCTACCCTACACGACCCCACCCTACCCCCATCTAACCTAATCTAATCGAGCCTAGCCTAACCTAACAACACCCAACCTAAACAAACCTCATATGACACAACTTGACCGATTTTAGCAGACCCTTCGCCAGTTCTCTGAAACAGCGGTTCAGTTCACTGAAAGATTGCTCCAGTTCACTGAAAGAGCGGTCCAGTTCACTGAAAGAACCATGTTCCTATAATTGTATGCGAGGTGTGTTGGGGGTGAGGCTCGGAGCGCCCACGACTTTGGAGTGAGCAGGATTGGAGCTTTGTCTCGGGTTTGAGGGCTTAAAGCCATGTAGGGTAAATCTGTGGATCCCCGTAGCCGATTGCACTTGCAATCGGAGTGCAAGTTTTTCTGATGAAGGAACCCAAAGCCCAACAGAGGAAACAGGAACCACTGCAACTTAAACCCTTCACACTCCCTAAATCCTAAACCCCAAGCCAAACCAAAGATGATTTTTACCTTCGCCCATCTTTACATATCTATCCCTAGCTATGTATCTCTGTACCTCTCTCCGGCGGTTATCGCCACACAGGCACAGACCATCGCAGGAATCTCGGCCCTGCGCCCTTTAATATGTCCCCAACTATGGGATCCTCAAGGGAGGGGGATTGGCCTAAATTAGGTTCGGGTTTCGGGTTTAGGGTCTAGGCCTAAACCCTGAACCCTAAACCCTAAGCCCCATTCTCCCTAGTGCCCCCCCCAGGTTCCCTGTAAGGTCACTACAAAGCCACGACACTCTAGGGCTTAGGGTTTAGGGCCACTCCTCCACATCAACATGGAACCTGAAAAAAGGCCCAGGAGAGAGGACCGCCCCGTTGAAAGGTTGCCATCTGAGGGTTCATGTGAGTTCACACAGGCTATGGTGACGCTTACGTCCTTTTCGTTGCCGATCTCGGTCAAGAAAATGTCTTGCGGGTTCATCGTGTCCTGCGTCAGGCTCTTCAGAGCTCTGGGCACTTAGTAACGAGGTATTATATTTTATCCTAAAAGGGCTCTGGTATAAGTAAGGAATATATTGGGAACCTACCATCAAGGATAATTAAAACGCCATCCAAACCCAAACAAAATCGACCTACTGAGTCCCCCTGAAGCTGCTTTTAGGGCTTAGGATTTAGGACTTGGGGTGAGGGTTCGGGATTCAGGCTGTCGAGTCTAGGATTTAAGGTTTATAGGGCTTAGGGGAGGGATTTAAAGCTTGCAACAATCGGGCCCCCCCAAGCTTCGTGAAGCCTTCGAACTCTCAAGCATGGCATCTGAACGGCTTAAGGCTTAAGGTTCAGGGTTTAGGGTTTAAGGCTAAACTGTAGACACCAAAGCGCAGCAAACCTTCAAGGAACCTCCTGAAGCTTCTGCCTCTAGGCCTCTAAGCAAACGTCTTCTTCAGAGCTGATCCGCAGAATGTGCCGGAGAGACCACCTGAACCCACAGCGCCTGTACGTGACCAGCATCCTGCTCCCAAACATGAGGGATTCACATTGCCTTGTCAGGCCCTGTATGGAGTTGCAGACGAAAGGGTTAAGAGCTTTAGTGTAGGGCACAATGCATTACTTGGAGGGTCGGGGGACTTGGTAAGTAGGAAGGTGGGAGGGTCGTCCTTTCGGACTGCTTCTGGTTCCGGGTTCTGGCACGCAGCTCAAGGCATGCAGCAAGTCTTTGATTATAGGGTGGGCCCGGTCCCACGTCTTCATATTCCTCCGTTTGCGGCCGAACCATGTTTGCTGGCTTCCCCCTGCCTTTGATTAAGGCATTAACGTCACTCGACGACAGGTGCCGAGGTTGAACTCGATGCACCCAGAGAGCCCAATACCCCTTAATTAAGGAATATACCTTACAAATCATAATAGTAAGGCCTCTATAA